TTAGCATGTCTTCGATTTCCTTTCCAGCTCTGTTTGTATCCTTGCAGCCCCATCTGGTGGAATGGGCGTTGAAATCTCCTAATACTACAGTTTTGTGTGAGATGTTCAGAAAATCAAAGTTGGGACAATTCTGGGGTGGATTATAGACTGCATATACCTTGAAGTGGTTTTGACTTTTCCGAACATTTAATCTGATTATTTCACATATGTCTTGTGTCGAGCCCATACTCTTGATTAGATCGTAGTGTGAGGTGAGGCGTTCTTTTACTCCAGTTAGAATTCCACTTGCAACTTGCCGGTATTTAGGTAGAAGGAACAGGGTGTAACCTGGGAATTGGTAGTACTTCAGTTTGTCATCCGAAATGTTTGCTTCCATAATTGTGAATATGTCTATATCATAGGTTTGTAAGATTTTCTGGACTTGGATCTTTTTGTCCTGTGACATCCCTCCAGTATTCCACTGGAGGATCTGAAGACGTTGTGATTCGCCCTGACGAGGGCGATTTCTCTAATAGCCTTGTTTCAAGCTAATCATAATAAATCGAAGTCAAAAACTAATGCTGAGTGATAGACTTTTTTGGCGTACGAAGATACGTTGTCCAGGTTGCACCACGTGGAGGTAAGTCTATCGCGCTCCCCACATTTCTGAAGTAACCTCAGTTTCTCTTAACTATCTTCGCCTGTCTTAAGCTGTCAATGTCATGTTTATGAACAAGAAGCTTTAGTTGGAGATCCTGAAGGGAAAATGGAGGTGAGGGAGTTTTAAGACTGGTTGGAATGAAGTCCCTTATTGATAGAAGAGATCATTTAGTCTGTGTAAATGGATTTACTACATTAAATTGCTAGCGACATTAATCCAAAGATTTGCTTATTTCACATCGTTTAGAACACACACTATTATTCACATCGGATGCCAAAAATCTGCTTAAATCTAATGTATTGCAAATTATGCCAAGGTATACGTGCTTTTATGCCTTTTACATAATTCAAAAATGACATTCAAACCAATGCGTAAAATTCACTTGTAAGCTAAAATAGAATGAGTTTAAAAATTCTATTTTTTTGTATTTATGGTGGGTTGAATATATGAACAAGATCGCAAGTTTGCGCTTGATTCATTTAATCATATACCACCCAAATAACTAACTTCAATATGCCAAAATTCTGAAACTTTCTTTCAAAATTTCAAAAGCCAAATATTTTGCACTCCAAATAAGAACTGACAAAATGTTCAAGCTTTTTACAGAACTCTCTTTAATGTTCATTCTTTCTTTTTTTTATTCAGCATTACATTATGTTATATAATTTCTGCAATCTTTTCACTGCTTTAAATTTATATTGTTTGTTGAAGTTCACATAATATAGCCAAACAAAGTATGCTTGTTTAATTACAGGACTATAAGATACATTTGGAGCATGTCTGGGCGTTTTTATTTCCACTCTTTTTGTATATTATATAATTAATACTTTAATGAAGTTAATAATAATGCAACAGATTCTTAGTGGTAAGTAAAATTGTATTACTTTTATTTCTTCGATAACTATATCGAATCTTAGCATAAATAGCTCGTGGTGTTTGTTTTAGGGAAACTGTTCTCTTCAGTCAGTTCAAAGTTGTGATATTTTGTTAATTTGATCATTACTTGTGAAAAGTCAATCAGATTGGGGACAAAATTAATGAGCCGAATTAAAAATGGTCAATCAACTGAAACAAGTAAGAAGATCTAAAAATATTAGTTTTTAATACGGACATCTCAGGTTTTGGTGACAATTTTCCTACGTGCATTTACTAGTAAATTCTTACAAGTAACGAAAATGTCACTCCTGTGTTCAAACTGAGTTTAATAGAATTTTTGTTGAAGCTTGTACAATTCATTGATAAAATAGAAGAAATATTAGTTGCCTTGCTCTCAAATTTTAACACAGATTATTCATAATAAGTTTCAATTGTTCAATATCAACTGCGTGAAGCACAAATTTCATGAGATCTCTTTTACCTGATACAAATTCGGTGATAAATAGAACTCTAAATTATTTTATGAAACCTTCAAATTTGTTTTCCTTAATTTTATGAGAAATTATTAAAATTGCATTTATCTCTATTACTTTGGATTCAACTGGCTTCCTTATTCAGTAGGAAGACGAAAATTTGAGATAATCGTTGAGGCTTTGCCATTTTTTCTGACATATCACTTAGTATGAAAAGTTTCAATTCAAGATATTTAGTGACATTGAAGTGATACTGGTTAATGGACAATAGGATTCAATGATCCAAAAAGTAGGCGATATATCCGTGAAAATGTTTGTTTAATTTTTGACAGGGGCATTTTATGAAATTAGCTGACAATATAAATACATTTTCTTACTATTTATTATAACTTTTAGGAAATCAGAAAACAGAACAGTTTGAAGATTCAATTTTTCAAAACTTTTTAGAAGAATGAAATGAATAGAAAAAATTGCGGTAATTAACATTATTATAGTGAATTAATCTTTGCAGAATTGAATCCACTCTTAAGTTTATGGAATAACAGAACATAAAAATGAGTTATTTGTTTAAGTCAAGGTGAGCAAGATAAAACGAAGAAGAAGAGCAAATAAATAAGGCATTTTTATGTATAATTAGAAGATAGTAAATGTTACTAATAATAAAATATTGAAAATTCAGTAGTTCGTTGAAATTGGTGAAAATGAGCGTCATGAAATTCGATAACAACTCAGCACGTTTCATGACTCGAGACAGGATCTTGGCCACGCTGTAAAATAACGCTCAAAAGCTGCACAATTCGGTCTGCTTGAACAAGTTCTTAATGCGGCCATTTTGTAGAAACCAAGATAATGCAAATGAAAAACAACCTCTGCACGTGAAACAACTAGATGGAAATGTGCGCTTCAAAATTCAATAATACGTAATCGAATACATGAATGAGAAAAGAAAATTTTTCAATCATGGCTTGTTGATTGATAGTTTTGGTTTAGCAATCCCATTTCAACAGAAACATTTGGCATGATATATTCTTATTTTAATAGAATTTTGTCACTTTACGAGAATCCCTACATATTTCTCCTTTAATGGTCAATTACTTAAAAAATTAATCAAATCACAACGGGGTAATGAATTCATTCACTATGAGATATGCATTGCTGATGGTTCAAATTCAGCTACATGTTTCTCACAACCTAGTTAATGAACGTGGGACATGCCATGGTAAGAAAAATTTTAAATTGAAATTTGGAATTAAATTGAATACATAAAAAATTCTATGAATAAAACTGTTAGAAGTAAGACTTTTCTTATTATTGTTTTTTAATTTTGGCCATCTCTATTTTTGAACAATATTTTAAGAAATACAATACATATTCGTTTCTTAATCCATAATTTACTAAATAATGAGAATTCCTTTATTATTTTATACCAAGTTAAAGCAATTAATATTAAGGCCCTCAAAATGCTTCAATATAATATAGTTTAACTAAATCTAACTCATAATCATAAGAGGCTCCTTAAACGACTAAAACTCAGTATTAAATTTAATTTAACTCAATAAATCATTCAGGACATTGAATTATTTAATATTAAAAACAGCGTCTTTGCCTGAGAAATCTTTGAAAGTGGAATGTATTGTTAAACTCAACTTAATTGTCATGCGTCTCAAGATGTAATTTCACACCATTGGTCAGTTGTCTAATATTATTTTAATTGTTAGTGTAAATTCAACCAACTGTTGTATAGTTTCAACCATTAATGAATTAATTTTTTGCTCCTAATGTTTTAAGCTGAAAGACTTTAACTGGCGATATTTCGCAAATAAACTGCATTGAACTGTTAAAAAACTTAAATTGAATAGTAAATAAACAATCAATATTTATTAATATGAAGGATTTATTATTGAAATGCACGTTCACAGCCATTTAAATTTCGAATATTTTCAAAAGGAAAATGTAGATAAATTTCCTTTTGTGAATGAAATCCTGTCGAAAAGGTTGACAATGATTAAAAAATTGTCCGAAATTGAATATCAATTCACAAAAGAAAGCTTATTTTCGAATTCGAAAAGAAAAGATTATGTTTGATCAGTCGAAGGCAGAAAAGTATGTGACGTCAACTTGATCGATTGACGTGACTTTGAAAGACTTCGTTTTTGTTTTAGACGATACTGGTGAAACTACACCGTTCCATGATTTCTCGTGAAACATCCACATAACTGACGCATCCAGGATAACCGTCGGTTCTTTTCGCCATCGGTTTTATTGTTTACAGCCTTTTGGAACTTCAGTAGCTTTCTAGAGGATGGAATAATTTTGGATTTGCCATTTTTGGCAAATAAATTTTTGATCGGGTGGACAATCAACTTTGGTTCTTTCGGAATTCCTAGAGGCTCTTTCGATGCATCATCTGAAACAAATAGTACAAAATGCAAAATTATTAAAGTATGTGTGTCAAAATATTTTATTATTCTAAAGCAAATCAATCCAAGCATCAATTAGTGGAATCTATCATTTTATGCACGGAGTGTGTAATAGACTTACCTCCACGTGGTGCACCCTGGGCAACGTATGCTCATACGGCAAAAAAGTCTATTAACTGGCAGTTGACCTTTGACTTCAAACTACCATCACCCCACTGTATGCCATGTTCGACTACTTCCACAGTACTTACCTCACCTTTTCTCTAACTTTGTGTCTGTCTCTTTTACATCTTTGAAACACTCTTCTGTTCCCTCTCCCTCTCGACTTATTTTCCTCCTTGATGTTCCTTCCCCTCTGTGAAGTCCGAAGTAAACTTAAGGGCTAATGATAACTATCATAACGCCTGCCATTTGATATAAATAAATCATTTTATGCACTTGTATTATTTATATATAATATATATGTAGCGAAAATAATTGCTCATAACAAAAAATATATTTATTAACTTCGTAATATTCTTGTTAAGTATTTCTATAAAAGATAAGGTAATTAAGTAAGAACGGAACTTAGTTGTCTATTAAAATCCTTTACGTCTGGACCAAATTTAGGCAAGCACTAAGATAAATGCCTTAAAAACTTAGATTAGCAGGCATTTGTAGTGTTGTCGCCTTTGACAGGAAACGGTTCGACTGGTGCCTTCATCTACATTCTTGTTAGGTGTCATAAACAAATTATGCAAAATAAAGATTCTTTTTTCATCAGTTTTAAAATACGCTCTTAAGTTACAAAGTAATTCCATCTCCACGAAATTGAACAAATACCTTTTAGAGACAAATCCTTTCAGATCCAATTTCATCTATCGATCGATACTATTCTCATTTCAGGAATGTTTTCTCTAATAAATTTCAAATTAACTTATCTTATAAAATGTACTAGTTATTGAAGCTTATTATGCACCTATCAGTGAGTTAGAGAATTTGTTTATTTTAATCCTAACTATAAATAAATAACGATAAGTATAGTTAAGAAATTAGTGGAGTTGAAATTTAATCAAATTTATCTGCGACAAAATCAATGGATTCAATACAAGTCAGTTACATGTTAAGCAGCTGGTAACCGGAAAGAAACCCGTTTTGGACTGCCTTTGAATAATCAAATAAATAAATATATATATATATATATTTTTTTAAGAACAAAATCATTTAAAATAGTATTTAAATGGACGTTTTCTACAATTTTTTCAAAACCTATAATCAGTTCGACTGATTCCGGCTGCTTCTCCAATATAAGTAACCTTGACAATGTTCACACAAAACTGGCAAACATCAATAAGTCTTCTAAACAATGTGCAGTTTTATGTCTCGCCTGAGGAGGTATACTTAGTAGAAACTTCTCTTGCAAGTGCTGAATCCCAAAGGAGAATGAAGTGGTACAGCTCATCTCGTACAACAAAACTAAAGTTCAAATGCTATATTTATTTAAGACTAGATCGATAAATTAAACTAACTGACTAGAAAGAACTGAAATATGATTTATATAAATTACAGTTATGACGGTGATTGTCATGGAATTTAAACGCAATGTAGTTAATCGAAATAGCCTATAAAATAATTTTCGTTTGTTATTAATGCAAAACAGCAAGAATTAACATAAGAGCTTGTCATTCTGATTGAAGCAATGTCATAATAAGTAGATTTCCGTACTAATGCACCGGTCGTATCTGCGCATTTAGTCGAAGCTATGGAGACACTGTCCGATCACGACTGCTTCCTCTTAATTTATATATAAGTCTATATAATATCTACAGAGTCGATTCTCATGAAAATTGGATTCCATTAATTTTCATGAATAGCTGAACCCCATTCTCATTTATACGAATGAATAGGTAAGCAATTTTCTTTGTGCTTAATTTTATAGATCATAATTAATGAGAAATTATGGTGTATGACTAAGCGGCTAGACCGGGGACTTGAGACAATGCAGAGTAATTACTCATTCAACATGGTGTATCTGTTATCGAAGTAAGTACATAATTAATAAATTCGATAGATTTACTATCATTGGGAGTGACTAAATCTTTGTTTAGAAAGGGAATTACATTACATTTCTGTCTTACACTTAAAGAAAGATTAGTACACGGATTCTTTCTTTACGGTGAATCATTCAAGAGGCAGATTAATTGCAGATTTAAAACATGAAAAATTTTATAGTTATGCAAAAAAGCTTTCTCAGATACCATTACTAAAACTATATTCGAATTTTTATTGAAAATTAGCAAGTTATAGAAGATATGAAAATTCGAATGTGACAAAATCGAAGTGAAGCAATGTATAATCCTTTTTAAAAGTAGTATGCGTTTAGTTAAATAGTTTTCAGAGATAAAAGTGGTACACTAGACGCATCATTCGATCAACCACGGCATTCTACTTCCCCATGGCAACCACATAGAAGTCTTATTTGTGTCTTATATTAGGAATGTTTTGCCAGTTTGTTCTTTAGATTACTCCGCTAATTTAATTCAATAAAGTCCTTGGCCAAATTAAATTACTCCAACCTGAAAAGAGCTTCCATGAAATACTGCCATACTGTCTCGCTCTCGAATTTTAGCGGTTTATTTTAATCCCACGTTGAAGGCACGATGACTCATCCAGTTTGTAGACGAAAGCCACAAAAATGAACTAACCAAACTGTGTATGAATTCGGTTTGGTAATTCTTCGGGACCATCATAATATTCATTAAAACATAGAATTTCTCCATTGCTTTGCCACCACTTTTGCTTTTTGATTGCGTAGATACCGGGAGATGAAATAATGGGTGCCTAGCGACAGGCGTTTGAAAAGTAGGACTTGAATGCGAATAAAGTGGGGGCTTATAGTTAGACTGCGATTGGTTAATCTTTGAAGAAAAAGGTTGTTATGGAGAGATTAAAAGGTAATTAACCACATTAGGAATATTAGCATGGAGTAAAATGGGCCTGTTTTATCGATATCCTCAATCGTTATGTCTCAAATTAATTACTATCATTATAATTTTGATCCGATTTAAGAGAAGCAGTTTGAAATTTACTCAAAAGTGAGAGATTTGAGATATTTCTGCCCTTAATCGAAATCACTAATATCATCAACAAAAATTAAAGGATCGAGGAAATGGCAGTATTGTTTATTTGTGGTAATTTGCTTACTCCAGAAGCATTCTTTTAATATCTTCCTCACTTACGATAGGATAGGCTTAAATCATAATTGCGCTAATATGAAGGATGACAAAGTTCGAGGTTCCAACCGCAATGGTCCAAAGAAGTCATTCTTTAAAATACTTTAAGCAGTGGAAATAGTCATTCGAAGCGAGTCGAATACCTATTATTAAATTTGAATAAAGCAAGTTCAGTAATAAGCGATATTATATTATACATTTAAGTCGAATCTCATTGTAATTGAATGCGTTATCTTCGAAACAGGAATAGAAGCTAGAAAATAAATCTAACATTAAGGTAGATGATTTAATTGTGTTCGAAAGAACCTCATTAATAAGTCGAGAGGTAATTAAAACAACTTCAACTTCAACCGTTCTCATTCCCACATAAATATTTCACATTTTTGAACTCTCGTGCGCATAAGATTACGATATGATAAAATGTCCGGCCCGTACATATGGAGGGGGAATAAAGAATCAACTAGAATTTAATATGGAGAATTTTATTTCACACATAAAATAACATGTTGTATACTTCTTTCAAATTCCCTGCCTGATAAGTGCACATTTAGGTGGCATGTTCACTTCCGCCTTCATTCCTATTTATTACAAGCGGAAAACAATTTCGTCGCAGTGGGCATATTTGTTATCACAAAGATTGTTAGAACAAATGCACTAAAAGCAGCATTTTTACAAACTTCTTTCAAACGATTTCTTAAAGGAGATAAATGCGAGCTTCCAACTGAATTTGTGATTTCATACCAAAAATTTTACCATTATATTAAATCAGGATGAAGATTTCTAAATATGCCAAATTTTAATAAACTAAAATCGGCACGGATATTAATTTTCCATATAAGCTTTTATAATTAATTTCACATAATCTAACTCCTAACGGAAGTGTAATTTAAACTAATTTATAAGTTTTCCTTAATCAAAACGTAAATGATCTAAACAATCGATTAATGCATTTTAACTTAATAAAAAAATTAATCTCTAAAAGTTTAAAAGTAACTAATTATTTATTGAATAAGTATTCCGTTCTAGCACTTGAACGTCCATATAGGTGGAATAAATAGTTTTGAATGATTTTAATTAATTTAATAAAATAAAAATGCTTACCGTAATAGTGAGTGATTTCTTCAAAATCAGCAAGTTGTGCCCTATCAAGCCAGGAAAACTGCTGACTTGCTGTGATGAACCAAGCTTCTGAATATGATTCCTCGGTGTCGATAAATGGAACGTCAAACACATCATTAAAATTTCCACCACCATTATTAATGTCAGATGTTTTCGGTGATCGCTTGCAATTATCTCTCCAAACATGACCCATCCCAAGATTATTGAAGGCAAGAGATGCCAGAAGTTGGTTCTTAGATCCATTTAAACTCAAATTCTCCTCTCCACATTCCATTCCATCCACTGCAGGAGTCATAAATATTTCCAGCAACGTCTCATCTGTCCCATAATCGTAAACTGGTCTTTTGGACATCTGTGGACTCTCAGAATATCGATGATTCAAGCTTAGGACAGAGGAAGAGAAACTTTCAGACATTGATATGGAGTCTTTTTCCACAGGACTAGCAGTGTCTAACATATCTGTTGAGTGTGGAGCTAGGTCATTTAACGAAGAACCAGTATTTTCTAACAACACATTAACCCCATTAACTGCTGGCGATCGTTTCATTTTAGACAGCACGCTGGGAATTTCCATGCCCTCCTTTTCGTACACATCAGCCTCAAAGTCATTTTCTGTGTCGACCGAATAGTTAACAGCCGCTGTACCTGGTGTCCCACGGTGTCCTGCGGTGTCTGTCGTCGTTGTCACTAGAGGGGTAGAAATAGACCATTCTGCAACATCGTGTAACTGAGTTCGAGTAGGAGATGGTGCCTTAGAGTTAGCCTGACCCCATACATCAGAGTGCAAAGTACAAATATTACTCGATGTCATGTTTCGCAGTAGTGGATGAATCTCATCACTTAACTTGTTTATCACCGGCAGGCTTTTAGATCCACTCTTATCCAAATAAATTTGACACTGCAGGGGGGAGGACTGAAAGATATCGTCTTTAGAAAGTGACGTATAGAAAGCTATTCCGTCCAGTTGTACAGGAAATATTTCCCCTGTGAAGGGAGAACTCGCCTTAGTAGAAGTGCCTTGATGATACGGATACTGGTCATATTCTAGATTTGTTTCTCCAACAAACCACTCCCTGTCTTCAGTATTTTCTATTAGGTATTGCGCTTCCAGTAGATCATTCTCTGAATTGGGTCTATAAACCGGGGAGCAGTGATGTTGCACTGTGTCTCTTCCACTAGTTCCATAAGAGGAAGTGGAATAATGATCTTCTTCCTCTTCAGTGATAGTGTCCAGATAGGATAGAGCATTGTCTCGAAAGATGATATCAGCAGAATCGACTTCGTCTTTGCAGATCATACTGAAATCCTCGGGTGACGTTTTGGTTGAATTATGCAATGAGTACTGCGACACCACAGCCACGTGCAAATTATCATTGCTCTTTAGCATATTACACGCAGTGGTGTTCAAACATTATAGTTTGTGTAATGACAAGCACGATGAACGACAGTGGAAAATAACGCAAGGGTTGTACCTCACGCGTATGGTTCACACGGGTGCACGCATGCGTGAGCTAATTGGAGCTAACGGATTGGTTCTTAGGTATGTCGGACGTTTCATGCCATTCTTATTGGTTGACACACACAACCACCACGTGTACCTGCCTGTTTTAGCTCAAGTTGCTGGAAAGTACTCAGACTTAGACTCATGAATATGAACTTTAGGAACTCTGAGAACTTAAAATATTTCCGCGGATTTACGTACTTTTAGCCATACTGCAATACGACGGTTCTTCTACCACACCTCATTATTTAATTTAAAGTTATTTTATTCATTGAAAATTTACATAAAATTTGGGGAGCCAAAGCTTATTTTAAAGTTGCGGTTAAATTCATTGTTAAATATAACATTCAAAAAGTTGGTCAATGGCGATATTCATGGAAATAAAAACTGGAAAAATTCGAAGACTAAACGACCCAATTTTAACCACAATTGCCTACCAATATTTATCAATAATTAAACAAGTTGAAAGTGGAATTCTAACTGGAGTAAAAGAAGGCCTCACCAGACCTCACACTTCTTCTAACTGGAGTAAAAGAAGGCCTCACCTCCCACTACGAAATAATCAAGAGTATGGGCACGACACAGGACATGTGTGAAATAATCAGATTAAATGTTTGAAAATGTCAAAACCACTTCAAGATATATGCATATGTTTGAAAATGTCAAAACCACTTCAAGATATATGCAGTCTGTAATCCACCCCAGAATTGTACCCACTTTGACTTTCTGAACTTCTCATACAAAACTGTAGTATAAGGAGACATCAACGTCCATTCCACCAGATGGGGCTACAAGGATACAAACATAGCTGGAAAGGAAATCGAAGACATGCTAAACAGCAATTCTCTGGAACTTATTTATTTATTTATAACAAATGACAGGCGCTTTGATAGTTATCATTAGCCCTTTAGTTGACTTCGGGCTTCACAGAGGGGAGGAGGAACATCAAAATGAGTAGACTTCAGGAGGGGGAATAGAAGGGTGGTTCAAAGATGTAAAAGAAACAGACACAAAGGCTCGGAAAGGGTAAGATGAGCAGTGGTGGGAGTCGAACATGACATGCAGTTGGAGTCAACTGCCGCTTAATAGACTTTTTGCCGCATGAGTATGTGTTGCCCAGGGTGCACCACGTGGAGGCAAGTCTATCGCACACCCCACTCTCTGGAACTTATTTACAGCAATATGGATCCGGCTACATATTTGCACTACAATGGAACCAGAACAACTCCTGACTTACTCCTGGCTTCAAGCGACATCACCGAGCATACACGCAGCAAAATAGTTGACGATTCTGGTTCTGGTCACAAAGCAGTCATTGCTAGTATTACCATCGGCAGCAAAAGCATGACAAGGAAAGTGCCAACTAAGCTATCATGAAACTTTAAGAAGGCTGACTGGCCTAGATTCACTAACC